AATTTTAAAAGCCAAGTGATTAAGAGATGAAAAGATTAAAACATAGGGACAGCAAACTAGAACAAACATAGAAATAAAATTTTCAAACAAAGTGGCACTGAGGAAGGACAAGAAATAATTTTTAAACGACAGCAAAGGGGAAAAAAGTAGGCATAGAAAGAACATTTTAAAAGCAATGGGGATTAGGGCAATAAAGGGGAAATTAATAAATAGGGACAGCAAACTAAAACAGATCTAGAAAGAAAATTTAAAAAGTGATGGTACTAACAAGAGACAAGAAATCATTAAAAGAAAACAGCAAAATAAAGACAGTGAATGGGGTAAAAGAAAATTTTAACAGCAACAGGGGTTAAGGAAATAAGGAGAAATTAAGAAATAGCAACAGCGAACTAATACAGACATAGAAAAACCTTTAAAAGCAGCAGGGTACAAGACAGGAAAAAATAAAAAGCAGAGACAGCAAACTGGATAAAAGTTGACAAAGCAAATTTCATAAGCAACAGCATTAGGGAAAGATAAGAAAAATTGTAAAGAAAAGGATTCAAGGAGAGAGGAGAATGGAAAGAAAATTTTAAAAGCTGTGGGGTAAGGGACTGACAGGAAGGAATTTTAAAGGGATAGGGAGCTTGATAAAAGGAGAAATGAAAATTTCAGAAGTGGAAGGAGTAAGAAGAGAGACAAAAAATAGGGGCAAACTAAGTCAGAGACATCAAAAGAAAATGTAAAAGCAACAGCATAGAAGAACAGAGAGGAAAAATTAAAAAGTAGGGAGCACAAACTGGATAAAAGTTGACAGTACGAAAACTTTAAAAGCGACAGGATTGAGAACAGGGATGAAAAAAATATAAGAAATAGGCTCAGCTAACTAAATAAATGAAGACATGGAAACAAAATTTAAGAAATCATGAAGTAGAGGACAGGCAGGAAGAGATTTAAAAAAAAAAAACAGAGAGAGAAAATTCAGAAGGCAAGGGGGTACTGGCCATATGGATAAGAAGTTAAGTATCAGGAGAGGGAGCCAGACAGCCCCAGGGAAATCACATTGGAAGAGTAATGGGGTGCAGAGCAGAGGGAGTCACTGAAAACAGACATAGGTCACTGGGCAGAGGGAGACCTAGAAATGCAATTTTCACAAGCAACGGGGAAGAAGGCAGCGTGCGAAGAATGAAATAACAGCAGGTGGGAACCCAGAAAGGGAAAGGCATAAAAAGGAAACAGAAGGTAACAGGGTACAGGGCAGTATTGACAAGAGAGCAGAAAGCTTCAGGGAGCAGGACAGTCCAAAAGGGAGATGGAGGCAGAGATCTGGAGAAGCACAGCCACAACAGGCCCAAACGTGCAACTCACCACAGCTCCTGGTGTCAGCAGGAGACCCTCACCACCCCGAGGCTCCTCTCTGCCTCTGCCCCTTCCTCCTCCACAGTGCCAGCTGTCTGACCCTCACCCACCCAGGAGCAGGCAGTGGGTGCCTTCATACTCCTCTCCCAGGAGGCTTCCCACAGGAGCTCCCTCTGGAACATGAACCTCACCAGCTGCACCTGGAGCTGCCCCAGCCCATCCCCACCCGCAGCCTTTTAAACCACCAGCCCAGCCCCATCATCACCTCATGGGCCCCACCTGGGCTGCCCCACCCCACCCCACAGCCTCCAGCTGTGGGGAGCTGGGGCCATGGCCCCAGCCCCCCAGCTCCCAAGACCCCACCCAGGGACTGCAGACCCATCCAGGGGTACAGAGGGACAGAGAAATGTTTATTCGTCCCAGCAGTGAAGTGAGCAGCTCAAGGCGCAGTGCCCCCAGGCAGCAGGACAGAGGAAGGGAGGAGGAATGCCAGAAGAGGTGGGGGAGGGAGCCAGAACAGGGTAAAATTAAACACAGGAAAAAATTTTAAAATACAGGTATGGTGCCAGATAGAGGCAATGTAGTAAAAATGTCAATGGTGACAGAGTACAGGGCAGCGTTGGCAGAAGAGGAAAAGGTTTGGGGAACTGGGCAGATAGGTGGGCAGCTGGAGAGGGAGACGGAGGCAGGGAGCGGTCTGGAGACCTTCTGCAGACCTGCTGCAGTCACCGACCCCACACACGCACCACACAGGGCAGCTATGAGGACCAGCCCGCCTCCAGCCCAGCCAAAGCCAGGACCACTGCAGCCCGCACCCCACCGCAGCAGGGTCCTGCTCGGTCCCACCCTGTGCGACACCACCAGCCACCACCTCCTGCCCATCCCACGACAGCTACACAGCTATCGGTCCCTTCATCTGCAAAAATTGTCTTTCCAATGTCCATAAATCATCCATCAGACATCGACCGTGGTCAGCCAGCCCCTGGCTCGGGCTCCACCCATTGTGGTGGTTGCCCAGAGCTGGAGAGGCGGTGTGGGGCCACCCAGGCTGGCTCCAGCAGGGGCACAGCAGCAAGTCCACAGCCTCCTGCAGCTCCTCCTCCACCAGCATGGGTGGCTCCTGCAACGGTGTGTCCTACCACAGGTGGAAACATGGGTTGTGGCACCATCGAGACATCTCCACCACCATGTCCACGCAGCGTCTGTGGCACCAGGCCCTGGGGTTTGACATTGCAGCAAACTCCCCCCCTGGCCTCTTCTC